CGACTTCCTCTGACATACTGAACTCTGTGCCACGCAATCAGCACATTAAAGATAACAGTGATAACACAAACCTCTGGTCCTGTAGTCACGGAGCTGTGATTTGATGTTACTGGATGGAACAGAATAACTAACTTGAAGAAAACTAAATAAAATATCCAGCTAATTTTTTCAGGTTTAGTCCCACTTAATCCAGTTTGTCAACAAAACCAACCGAGCAGGTATTGGTGCAAATGTTTATTGAGAATAGGATGTCTACATGATAACTTGTGTTATAAAACCTATTACATCATCAGTTTCCCCCTGATAAATCATCCATATTACAGTGCAGGAAACCAAAACAAATACAAGCTGCACTCAAATGACAACACCTGGAACTAACAGGAACTGAAATAGAAAGAAACATTCAGAAGGAAATGAAAACGAAATGCATTGTTGGGAAAACATTTCAACATAAGAGAAATAAAGAGCTGACTCGCTATAGTGTAAAGTATTTTAGTAGCCACATATTGGATAACTGAATTCAAACATAAAAACAGACAGACCTCATACATTTAGTAGATAACATATCTGTTGACCTCTTAAAATGAAAACTGTGTTTAACTGGAGCAATCCACATAAATGCCAGATAATCTGTTACTTACACAAACACCTCATTTTATACATTAAAACATTAAAGCTGAATGATTTGATAGTATTGGACTGAAATTAAATTTCAGTTGAGACTCGTTACAATCACTCGCCCCAAGGTTTTTTAGGTTGTAACAGTTGGTATCACAGAATTTAAAAGCCACCTTACATATGGTTATAAAGCTATAAAACACCGTCCTCTGATAAGGATTTGTACCCCAAATCTATATAAACAAACTGCCTCATTAGACTAAGCTGAATCATTTCTCTACAGTTAAATAGTATTAATATGAGATAAATGTGTCATAACTGTGAAGTGCATTTATTTATTTTAAACAAGGATAGTTTTATCATGTGAGCTCTCTAACTAGTTCTCATGCAATTTGTGTGTTTATTTCCACCACTTCTGGCTTCATGGCTATAAACTACCACTCTACTTCACTGATGCGGGCAACATCTTCAGTGGGATTTTACTCAGATTACTTACGTATGGAAACATCTTCTCAGTGAAAGTGTGTGTGAAGGTGTGTATTTGTGTTTTGGTGTCAGGATCAGAGAATGACACCTTCCCCCTGTTCCAGTCCAGCTGAACTCTGACCTTCTTGACCGCCTTTAAAAAAAGAATGATGGAAGACTCTGGCAGGGAGCGCACGGTGTATTCACCTTTATAAAACCCTAGCCTCCATAATCCAGATTGCGGCTCTCCCTTCCTTTTGACAGACTCTGCTAACACACCGACTTTCCAGTCTGTGCTGTTTCCAACTTCAACATCCCAGCTGTGAGTGCCTGAATAAAAGCCCTCGGAGGCCATAGCAATCGGGTAGATGTCAAACCTCTCTGGATTGTCGGGAAGCTGCCGTTGCTCACTGACGCTCACACCGGTCAGATCTTCAGAGATGAGGAGATTTGGCTGGGCAGAGTTTGGGTCCAGAATCACAGGAGAGTAGGAGACCATCTTCTTCATCTTGTTCCAGATGTTGTAACCCAGGTTGCCCAGGTGTTTGGCCACATCTATCAGAGCTTCTGAGACCAGCTGTGGGTCATCCAGCTGGGGGTACAGCTGGACCATGTTCATTGTACCCTTGTAGTCCTGCAGAAAAGCGACGTTTTCAGCTTTCAGCTCCTCCTCTGCAGCTCTGATTGTGGCCGAAAGAGCTGCCATCTCTCTGCTCAGAGCAGCAATCTTCTCCTTCATCTGCTGACTCTTCTCTTGCTCTTCTATATTCAGAAGAGCCAGCCTGGTCTTCTCTTCCTTATCTAGAAACATGCGAATCTTCTTAAACTGCTCCTTGATTTGCTTCTCTGTTTGTTGAGCCTGGGTCTTAATGTGTTGCTCTGTTATATCAAAGTTTCCCTTCGCTTTTTGTAAGACCTTCAGTTTGTCCTGTAGTGGTTTTAGGGATTTCTGAAGCTCTTCCTTGTGATCCTGCGCGGCCTCATCGATGGGCCAGAACTTGTGGTCGACGTGTGCTCTCGAATCACGACAGATGACACAGGCTGGCTCCTGATGGTCCAGACAAAAGAGTTTGAGTTTCTCAAAGTGCAGACTGCACAGAACCTCAGACTCTGCTGCAGCGCTCTGATTTTTCTTTTTTAAGTAGGCCTCAGCGTGGTTCTTTAGGACCAAGTTACAGGGTGGGTCACTCTGCTCAGACATTTTCTTACAGACTGGGCACTGCTGTTCCAGCTTCTGTGCCCACCAGTTCTTCAAACAAGTCTTGCAGAAGCTGTGGCTGCATGACAGGAAAACAGGATCCCTAAAGATGTTATGGCAGACGGGGCAGGAAAGATCCTCCTCGGACTGGAAAGACATCTTTTCTCAGAGAGAAGCTGAAAATACACCGAACAGAATTGTATAACAGGAATTCGGCCAGGTTTACTTTCACTTTTGGTTTGTGTTTTAAACATAATATTTCGTCTCCTTAGAAGGGAACAAATGAACTCTTACCTTAACTATACTAGTTTCGCCTTGTTTTCCTTTCTCTGTTTTGATTTTAACCTTGAGATAAATTTCTCACCCAGACAACGCTTTTGTTTTTCTCAGAGGAAGAACGCCCAGGCTTCCGTTTTTGTTTTGTTTTTTTACCCATAGCTGAAAGAGCGTAGTCAGGTGGGCGGAGTTTTGTCAGAAAGGAGACAAAGGTGTGACCTGTTTTAAAGTGCTCCTAAACTATTCCCATTTTAAAGCTTTTTCAGCAGTACAGTAGTTCAGACATGGAAACAGACAAAAAATAAACTCAACAATAACAACAGCTGTCTTATTAAATTAAAGATTGTGGAGGTATGTAAAGACTACAGGAGAGGCCTCAATATGTCTCACTCCAACTTTATTAACGGCTTCACTAGAACTCCGTATACAAAAAGCGCCAAACCTCCACCCCATCACTTCCCTTAACCTTGGGTGTGAGTGGAGCCACCTGGTGGTCCGACCCCCCCAAACACACGTGAACGAGGCTGGTGTAGGCGAGCAGGAGAGGCAGTCGGTTAGAGGGTGCTCCTGGGGGGAAAACCAGAGTCCATTCACCCCGTGGCAGGAGGGCGGCCAGAAGAAGAAAAAGGATGAGGAGGGGCTCTAACTGATAATGAACATAACTACAGGCTTGGAGGTCCTAAAAGTCAGGTATAAAAGGAACGGTTTGGGGGTTTAGAACACATTTTGTGTAATTATAACAATGTGATTTATGACCCTGTTACACAGACATTCAGTGTAATACAATCAATTCACTGATCTTAATGTTCTCAGGTAGGATGGCTCAAAATACCTGTAACAATCAGAGTAACAAAATGAGTATTAAAACAAGAAAAAAGAAGAAAAACCAACAAAAATGTTTTAATTATTCAGCTGTGAGGTCATTTTTTAATAAAAGAGATTTGTTGCATATTTAGTCTTTTAGGGACTCATCATGTGAACATGATTCATACTTTCAGCTTTTTGAATAAAAGGCAGTTTTATTTTCTATTGCAGCCCCAAATGTAATATTATCAGACAAGATTACTTTGAAAGTCTGTATGGATTTATTTACACATTTCAACTAAATGGTGAATTTGGGGGTTTTAACTTAAGAGCTAAAAAAGATCCTTTTTTGACATTTGAAACATTTACATCTTCAAAAACTCTGAGGCCAAATGTACAACACTGAATTGTTTACACCGAGTCAAACCTGCTTCATCAAAGGGGTTCAGTGTTCCTTTGGGTCAAAGGGTCCACTGATTTATCTGTGTTCACCTCTTTAAGTTCACTTTGTGTTTGTCTCCACCTAGTGGTCGATGAGAATTACTGCAAATCAGTTCAATCATTTACCTGCTACCAGACAAAAGCTCTTCTCAATACTCAGTTAAAATGCAACAGAGTAACCAGAGAAAAAATGAATTCAAAATGAAATATATTTACCGTTTAGAAGATAACAAGCAGCTGCAAATATTGTTAGTTTGATAAAAAATAGTCTACTTCATGTGTTGCAGCCAGTGTTTTTGACAGTCACAACCTCATAATACAACCTTTTGTTTGTACTTATAGTGTCTAAGTGATCTGTCTCTGTATGACACTAAGGTGTTATACAAGTTTGTGTATGCACCATAAAATAGGGCTGTGTAATCCTGTGTTCCTTTTTATTCTGTTGTACTTACCTTTCTTTATCGCTGTGGCCACTTTCACTGACAGCTGCAGCCAATCCCTCTGTGCTTGACTAATTGAACTGGACCTAACTACTCTGTGCTCTTAGTGCCTTTTTAGCATTTTAATAGAATTAGCTATCAGATCATTTTCAGTGCAGAACAAAATATCATTTGTTTTATGGATTTTATGGTCCAATTTTGTTGAGCTAGTATTTCTTTTTAGTTTGTTGTTTATCAGCTTTAATTAGCAGGAAAGAACTGCTTTGCGCAGTTTTTGCAGTTTGCAACCAACCTAGTATTTTATAGGTTTTAGGGTTTTTTTTACACTTGAAGGGAAAACATTGGTATGTGGCTATAGTGTCAGTCATCATCATCATCATCATCAACATCAACATCATGAATAACATCATCGTCGTCATCAAGAATGCCATTAACTGTTTCACCACCTTGATCGTGATCTCCTTCACTATCAGAGTCTGCACTGTCATGAGACACTCGTGGTAATATCTTCAATGGCAGTTCGTTCTTGGTGTAAACAAATGGAAAAAGTTTCTGAGTGAAAGTGTGTGTGAAGGTGTAAATGTTGATGTCAGGATCAGAGAATGACAGCATCCCGCTTTTCCAGTCCAGGCAAACTCGGATCCTCTGGAGCTTTTTCTTTGGATGAAAGGAGGACGAATCTAGTGGGGAACGTATGAAATAACTACCCTTACTGAACCACACAGCCCACAATCGACACTTAAAGTCTGTTTGTCCCTTTCTTTTAGTTGATTCTTCAGCCACACCAACTAGCCAGTTTGGACTGTCTCCAACTTCAACATCCCAGCTGTGAGTCCCTGAGTCGAAACACTCTGAGCCCAGGACGATCGGATAGCCATCAAACCTCTCTGGATTGTCAGGAAGCTGCTGCCTCTCTCCAAGGCTCACACTGGTCAGATCTTCAGATATGGAGAGGTGTGATTCAGCTGTGTTTGGATCCAGGATCACAGGAGAGTAGGAGACCATTTTCTTCATCTTGTTCCAGACGTTGTAGGTCAGGTTGCCCAGGTGTTTGGCCACATCTATCAGAGCTCCTGACACCAGCTGTGGATCATCCAGCTGGGGGCACTGCTGGACTCTGCTCACTGCAGCCTTGTAGTTCTGCAGGAAAGCAATGTCTCGTGCTCTCAGCTCCTCCTCTGTGGCTCTGATTGTTTCTGAGAGACTTGCTATCTCTCTGCTCAGAGCTGCAATCATTTCACTCATACTCGCACTCTTCTCCTCCTCTTCCTCTCTCAGAGCAGTGATCCTGGCTTCCTCTTCCTCTTGCAGAAACTGGTGAAGCTTCTTAAACTGCTCCTTGATCTGCCTCTTTGCGTGAAAGGCCTGAACCTTAATGTGTTCTGCTGTTTGAACAAAGTTTCCTTTAACTCGTTCAAAGGCCTTCAGTTTGTCCTGTAAGGGTTTCAGTGAGATCTGGAGCTCCTTTCTGTGATCCTGCGCAGCCTCATCGATGGGTCTGAATCTGTGGTTGCTGTGAGTTTTTGAGTCTCTGCAGATGAGACACGCTGGCTCCTGATGGTCCAGACAGAAGAGTTTGAGTTTCTCCGAGTGCAGACCGCAGAGCGACTCGGACTCTGCTGAAGCACTCTGATTTGTCTCCAGCAAGAAGTTCTCACACAGGTTCTTTAACACCAAGTTACAGGGTGGGTTTTTCTTTTTAGATGCACTCTTACAAACAGGACACTGGCGTATTTCTTTCTTTCTCCACCATCTTTTCAGGCAGTTTCTACAAAAGCTGTGGCTGCACGACAGAACAACAGGGTCTCTGAATATGTCTCGACAAACGGGGCAGGACAGCTCTTCTTGGATTCCAGACGACATTTTATCTGTGACTGACGCTGTTAACAAACCACACAAACAGGAAGTTAGAAACTTACTAATCTATAGAAGGTACTTCCACATTTTTAGGGCTCTAAAAACTCACGTAAACGAGGTGAAGTAATCCCAAATCTCTTCTCCTTCTGTGGGTTTTGTCTTCTGGTGAATAATATTGAATTTTTTTTACAGAGTTTGAAGTTTCCCCTCAGTTGAAAAAGATCTGCTTCCTCTTTTTAGTAACGTAAGTCAGGAAACACGTGCAGCGCGCTCATACGTCAGAGGTGCTACATCACTTTAAATTTGTTTATAGTATTGAAGATATCAGTTAAAGAGACAGCATCATCTTCCGTGGATTATTTTAGCCTCTATCCACCAAGATGAGTTCATATAATGTATCATGATTTTTTTTTTGCCTCTGTGCACCACGAAATTTTTTTTCAATCAGTATGGGATTGAAGTCCAGATTTTCAAATTTAACTCAATGAAGTTAATGAAAAAAAAAGTCTTTGTGTAGGAATTACATAGATTTTTATACAAAGACCCCCATTTCACAAGCTCAAAATATAATTAGACAAACCAACGCCTTGAACATGGGCTGCTTTTGAAACAGCTCTTGTTATCAGTGACTGTCAGAAGTCTATAACTGCTTTTCCGCAACTGCGCAATCTCTTTTACATTTCCGGCCTTCTTCTTCTTGAGTGTAACCAGTGGTTTGCGCCTTGATGTAAACCCTCCTCTACATTCATGAAGGTATTTATAGATTGTGAAGTTTGTTTTTCTTAACCATGGAAAAAATTATGTGATCATCTTCTGCAGTTGTCCTCAGGCCTTTTCATGTTGCTGTGTTGCCAGTGCAATCATATTGAGAGTTTGAGCAAACGGCTAACAACGCACTTTCAAGACTCTTTAATTTTGTAGCATCTTCAACTTAAAAAAAAAAAAAACTAACTTGAGACTTGAGTCAGTGTGAAGTGGCATCATATGTCTCTAAAAGTAGAATTTTTAGGTATCTGTATTTTACCTTTTCTGACAACTTTTTAATTTTATCAGTGACACATGAAAAACTGTAGATTTAAATTTTACATGTAATGTCATAATTTTAATTACTTATTGGATTTTATATGTGTTATGATAAATTATGCATTTTCATTTTGTGAAATCTCCAGCAAAATAAACAAAGCTATACAAACTTGGTTTATTCAAATACTGGGTAGTTTTGTCCAAAATAAACAGGTTAGTTTGCAGTACTGTGGCGAATTCACAGTAAAGCACTGTGTTGGACTGATGCAAGGTGGTTGTGGTGCTCATGGTTTCATTTAGATTTAGGTTACATCAAGTGTAGCAATTTGCATTTAGGTTGACGATGCTTGGACTAATTAACTAAATTTCATCTCTATACCAACTGTATACTGTCTAGCATAAAGATAGTGTAAACAGTGTAGGGGATGGACGTCAGTCAAGACAGCAGGTCAGCTGATCGCTGCATGTACACTAAGAAAATCTACCAAAGCTCACAGTAGAAAATTACTGTGAGTTGTGATTGTTTTCCGTGTGCTGAGCAACTAAACTGTTTCGATCATTACCTGCTAAATCCCACTGTAACTCCCGATTGTACTAATTTTCCTGTTTAGGTGTGGAGGTGAATTCACCATCTACAATGTAAGGAACAGAAAATTTTTATTTTTTAAAACTCTCTTTCACTTCATGTGTCCTACATAACAGATCCAAGCTTTCATGAGAATTAGAATCTAGACTGGAGTAGCATTTGCGTCCCCATGTACTAATATTGTTTTATATTATATTAATATAGTGCATGGTTCAGTTATCTTTTACAAGAATGGTTAGCAGAATTGTCCTTCAAAGAAGTACTTTTTTCTTTCCTGCGAGTACATTTCAGAGCCTGTATTTCACTTTTACTTGAGAAAAACAGCTGCTACAGTATTTCAGCTGTTACTGGAGTATTTGTAAATACAGGTACTTGTACTAATGTAAAGGAAGTCTGTACTTTTGCCATCTGTGATAAAATGTAAGATGTAATGAACTACTGTTGCAGTGAAATGACAATAATTTGTATGCATAATCATAAAGATCTGATGCGAAATTATTTGCAGATATTTTTTCCAAGTTTAAAAAGACAAAAAAAAGTAAGGAAGGTCCAACGAGTGGGACAAACACATTTTCATAAAATCTGCTGTTTAATAAAAACCATGGCACAGATAAAATGTGGAAAACAGTTGAAGTTTTACACAGATGAGAGTTACCGATCTATAAATCACACAATTTTGTGATTTAAAAATAACATCTAAAGACAACCATGTGATTTTACTGCATTAGAAAAGAGACATTCAGATGTTTTTACTCTGCTATGAAACAAAATACTAAGCCATGAATAATGAGTCTTAAGGCACTGCTGGCTCATAGATCACAGTTCAGTATACAAGTCAAAAATACCTAATTGATGGTGACAACACCAACTGTCTGTAGAAATAATTAGCCAATAAATACATTAGTAAACTGACCAAATACACAACACCAAATTAAGTTTTTGCATTAAAAAAAAATCAAACTTATCATCTCTTCGCAACTTTTCAGAAGCAGTCGTAAACGCACAGATGTATAGATGTTACGTTGTGCTCTGTAAACTTATGAACTTAAATATATATATAGTAATTTAATTTATTGATAAAAGATGTTATCTGGATCCAGAAATCTTTGTATCATTTAAACTACAATATTGCACCACTAACTCTGGTTTTGTCATTTCTTGTTTAAATTTTAAGCGCTTAGCGAAGAAACTCTAGTTTTTTGTTTTTTTTTAAAGAAATGTTAGTACATATACTAATAAGAAGCTCAATCTAAATGCAAAGGACTACAGCGATGGTATAACAGGCGTTATTTTATAACCCATGAAAACAAAATCAGTGCCAATCAGTTTGCAGCTAAACATAGTCACCTAAAGAAGAAACACGATTTCCTCTTTACTACTTTCAATCTGAAGTTGAATTGCATATTTGTGGCATTTTTTTTTACATGTTAAGTGACAAGTTTAAATCAGACTGTCTGTACAGTGCATCAAACTAAAAAAAAAATCCGAGCTCTTTAAGTCGATGGTAAATGTTTTATTCTTTCTTTTGTATTTTAGTTTTTCTGCAGGTGGACTCCTCAGTGTTTGCAGACAGCTGTTTAGCCTCGACATGCATCTGTCTGAGGGAGTAAGGTTAGCGCACAGCCAATAGGAAAATATACGCAGCCTGTGCAGGGCCAATGGTTATGTGGATCTTGACGCGCTAAGAACACTCCTGTAAAATATATTCTGAATATCAAAAGCTTTCTTTCCTGGATAACCCCGTGAGGTCTAACCCACCCACCACTTTACAGACATTAATTAATCCTGATCCTAAACGAATGGAACAATTCCAAGAATAATTCCTCTGTAAAGTTTTTTCTTTGAGACCAGACTTTATCCTTGTCTGGGAAACAGAGCCTGTATGCTTTTTAGAATGTGTGTTGGTTTGGAGCCTCTCTTGGTACCAAGCTAATCACAATGTGCAAAACCAAAATTTACATTCAGATAGCAAGGCCTGAAAACAGTGTTTCAGGTACTTGTGATTGCCAAAGATGAACTCGGAGGGTTAAATAAATTTAAGAAATTTACAGCTTCAACAAATATTAGTATAAAAAAACAAAAAACAAACCAAAAACATCTTTACTGCATATAATTAGCTTTTTGATGCATGGAAAATTTCTTTTGAACAGTCAATGTGAGGAAGACATGGAAACTACCGGCCATCTATATATACATAAACTACAATCTCATTACATTAAACCTTATTTGCAGTGGAAGTAATACTGAAAATAAAAAAAATGTCTTTAGAAAAAAAAATGTATTAACAAAAATGCACAGGTGAGCTGTTGCATCCTGATTAAGCAAATCAGACTTTGTGTGGTGAAAACATTTTAAAGTGCACTGAAGAAATCCACATGTTGGTAGATTAATGTGTAAATGACATTCACTGTTGTACTACTTCGATACAAATAGGGCTTAAAACAGTTCTCACTCACAGTGAAGCCAAAATCGAATGTTGTCAAAGCTTCAGATTAAATGTCATCACCGACAGAAGTTACAAAAATATTCTGAGTTGTTCTGTTTTTGTATAAAGTAGAAAATATTTTTATACTTTAGGATGTAAAAAGATACACAGATGGGTACAGTTACAGCTTCACATAGAAAAACGAGAGGTTGGCGGGTTCAGAAAACAGCAAAACTCAATATACAAACAATATTGTTAGTGTTACAAAATTAAATAGGACAGTGGCAATAACAGAATAAATTATTAGCTATGGAAACATGTTCATTATCCTCACTGTAGAAAAGGCTGAGGATGAGACGACACGTGTCGGTTTGGTCACATATGGTGCTGCTGGCTGATTAAAGTTTAATCAGGTGGTTACTGTAGTGAATAAGGCTCTCAGAGTGTCCAGAAACTCGAGCTGTCACTCAAGTTTGTCCCCAGTCAGTCTTTAATAAACTCTCTGCCTCGCTCAAGTCTGACTTTCTGCTTCTTCACGTCAGTTTGTGTCCTCGCAGACATGCAAAGGTAATGACTGGTTATTCTGCCGCAGGGTACATTAGTGCTTATACTGAATTACAATTACTAAAACAAAATAATCAAGGTAGGGTGTAAACCTGAATATGGAATTATGCTCCTGGTATCTGGCCGGCAGGTGTCCCGAAACGGGCATTTCATGTAATAAGAGCATATACAAATAAATCCAAAAATGACTATTGAGATGAAATTAATAGAATGGGTCTAATTTAAAGGAGCAATTGGAGATCATTTGCATGATTTGACCACTAGGTGGTGATAGGAAAACATTTGACTGGTTCCTCTTTTTTAACTAAATGTAAAAAATTTTTTTTATTTATAAATAAAATTTATGTTGACGTAGTGATATCTACCTATACAATTTGATGGGGACAACACAAACAGACCCCTTGTCTGTCCTCCACTGCATCCTTTGACTCATCTCTCCATCTCGCCTACTTACAAATGCCATCTGACTCTGGTGGAAACAGTGCAGCTGTTCTAACTGCCTCACATCTGGAGGCTTTTCTTTACCTAAGAAAATCAGAAGTCTTCAAACCAGTGCGAGTGCAGTCAGAGCTCACTTGCTGCCCGTTTCATAGGCAACTAATGGGCGACAATGACCTGACCTATGGCGTTTGAGTGTGGATTCCTCTGTGACATCACAGATTTGTGGTGATTGGTTGGTTTTCTTCAGTTATACAAAAAAAAAAATAAATAAATAAATCTGCTACACATCCACAAGGCAAACCTCTGGATCTGTCCGAGTCTGTCTGTCCACACATCTGTCCATTAGTCTGTCTATGCTTAGCTCGCCTTCTCCTTTTTCTGCCTCTTCCTTCTGTCTCTTGGTGAGGTCACTCGCAATAGCCAGCGCTCCTCCTTTTAGGAATCTGACAAAGTTCTCTCCTACAAGCGGCCCCATGGCGTACATGCCTGGCCCGTTCGCAGCAATCACCCTGTTTGTAAACGGGTCCACCTCAATTGGGTTCCTCCGGCATGAGATGGGCTCCTCAGGGTTCATGCCAAGCGAGCGCCCGTTATTGTCTAGAAAGGAAAGATTGGGGTGGGCGCCAATCAGAACCAGAGCCTTAGAGACCTGAACCACCGTCCGCTCGCCAGCGTCTGACTCTAGAACGCACTTTCGGTCAGGTCTGAACTCGACAACCCTGTGGCGCGGGAAGCTCAGGTAACCCGGGTACCGGGGGAGAGAGGAGGAAGAAGAAGAAGGGTTGGAACGATGAAGATTCTGCGTATGGTCCTGTTGTGAATTATTGCGTTGATGCTGTTGAGTCATCATCTGGTGAACCTGGAGGACAAAGTACAGAACAGAGGTTAGGCGATTAAAATCCTAGACGACCCGGTTCAGCTGCCATGACGATCAGTCAGGAAATTGAGTGGCTCTGCTCTCCTCACCTTGTGGTACTCTGGGTAGAGCAGTTTAGGCAGCTGGTTGAAGATGAGCTCTGGGTCGTTGACTGAGCGTCTGAAGGCGTGGTAGACAGGGGTGTTGAGATGGTGGGTGGCAAGTACTGCGTCGGCTGCCGTAAGTCCTGCCCCCACCACCAGAACTGGGTCTGACGACTGGTCGAGCTCACCGCGAGCGATGGCTGCCTCTAGATCCCAGAATGAGTGGCACACGAAGGGCAGGGACTCGCCCTGTGCACCGAGTCTGGCCGGGATGTCATGCGTGCCTGTCGCCAACACCACATTGTGTGCTAACACGGAGAAAGGTACCTCCTCTGAAAGCGTGGAACCATCTAAAAGTAGGAGAGAAGAATCAATAGGTGAAAATCGGCTTTACTGAGAGGCTGCATGACGTCCATATTAATATGATTTTGAGCAGTGAATCAAGCAAAACTACTTTAGTGCGGTCCTAGAATCCTAATATTCAGCTGGCAATGTGCTTTAACACTTTATAACACAACAAATCTTAACAGTGATCAAGAGAGTTTCATTCACTGTACCTCCAAGCTCTTCCCCCTCTCTCCGCTGCAGTCCTGTCACTCTCCAGCAGGGCGGCGACCCCTCCTGGCTGATAGGCTGCCTGGTCACAGAGGTGACTAAAGTCCCACAGGCAAAGTTCTGCTCCAGGGACATCTGGGAAACGTAGTGCTGGTAGTAGGAGGCGATCTCTGCTGGTGTAGCACGGTCATTTCGCACATTTCTGTTGTGAAAGAAACACGAAAATACATTTGGATACAGGTTAAACACGTATTTGTTTACAGACACAGGACATGAAGACGAGTATTAGGGATCAGAAAGAAGATATTTACTAACGAAGTTTTGATTAAAAAAAATAATCTGTAAATGAAAGAGTTGTTGGGGCGATATTGAAACACAAGTCTGATTGTGGTGCACAGAAATTAAAGACCACTGTTCTGCTGCTATGGTCACAAATTGCTATTTTATGTAAATCAAGTGGGTCCAGCTGGGCTGAGTCATTTGAAAAACAAATTAAAGAGTGTGACGCATGAAGATCAATGGCTTTGTTCTTTTATTTCTCTGCTCAGCTTACTCAGAAGAGTACTGTAACTGTATTTTCTTTGTGGTAAAAAACGTATTAATTTAGGCCTTCAAGTCTTAATTTCATCAATTTTCATTACATTATCAATTTATTTTCATTTATATGACCAATACATCTCCTAAAAGTCATTCTTGTTCTTAGCAGCCTCACTGCAATGACAGCTTGAGTCTAGTCTTAATAATCAGGGCTGTGGGGATTAAATCCAAGTATAAGCTAACTACAAGAGCAGCTCCATCATTGAAACTCAAACCCCATTTAGCTTCTTCAGGTTCTCAGCTCGTAAACATAAGCCCGGGTGGTCAAGATTTGTTATTAATAAAGGTAATCAGATAGTATTTGTCCACTGTGGAGACATCTTTTTGTACACAAGCCTCTCTGCCAGGAGCTTTATTACGGTTGAAAACTTCATGAACCCTGTTGAGTGTTTAAACAACACGTCGTACACGCTCTGTACACAAAGTGGCGGTTTTATTATGAGCAGACCTGCGTTTGTCTCTCATCCAGTCCTTCAGCTTCAGCCCAGGAAGCTCCATCCAGTTAGCCAGGCTCAGCGTCAGCATGGAGCCCTCCATTGCCTGCACACAGCACACACATTGTTAACACTTTTGTTATTCAAACCCTGTTTGCCTTCTATCGCGTGCAAATTAACTTCTGTGTGTAAATAAGCAGCTGGCAAAACATTTTTTTTATGTGTTTGCTAAACATATCTACTTTACGATCGAATTCAGGCCATCTTATAAAATAACATTTTATGATGATAAGGACTAAACAGACGACTGTTTATCCTTCTGCTTACACAAAACAGAATGGGTTAGCCTTTAAAACCTATTCTGTAACTTACATGCCAGGCTCCTCCAGGTGGACCCTTCCCCAGCACCAGGTGGGGAATAGCACGCTCTGGCTCGTATCGCCATTCCAGCGGAGAGGTGTGGTCGAATCCGAAGTCGCTGTCTGGCAGCAACAATGAATCAAAGAGCACCGCTACGGGGTTGGACGACCGCCCTTCCAGCCCCTCGCACAGGTACTCCAAGTCCTACAAAGGGAGCATCTGTGAGGCTCTGTTCACACTGCACTAATGCAACTTCACAACTTCACCGAGAAAAGAAAGACGTTTACCTGCTCCAGCAGCGACAGGTGAGGCTGCTCTGCCAGCTTGCTGTGCAGCAGGGGATTTGGATGTGATGCCTCAGGTGACAGGTAAGGGGTGTAACCTGATAACAGGTAGGACAGGCAGATGCCTGAGGGGCCATTACCTGAAAATAAATGAGAGGTAAGGTGGTGATTGGTTATACATTCAGAAAAAATGCAGTTTGGTTATTTCCAATTTTACCGCACAGCTGAACACAGATCAGAAAAAAAAAAGAAAAAGAAAAATTAAATAACTCAATTTAACTTCCAACAGAAACATCGCAAAAAACAAAAACCCTGTCAATGAAAGGGGGACATTAAAGTCAGTGTGCTGCATGATTCAGGGGGTTTGGATACAGCACATACAAGAGGTGATTCAGCAAAACCATGTACAACAGTTGCACAGTCAGGTTATCCCACTTTCAGCTCTTTAAGTAATCCAACTGAACCTTTTTTTTTTTTAACACAACAGCCTTTGCTGATGCGAGGATTCACTCTGATTTTTTTTCTGTGAATCATTAATCTGGATGCATCACTGATTCATGGACAGTGAAGCTCTTCTTTTCCATTAGTGAGCTGTAATGCTGCAGGAGTGTTCACCTGAACCAACAGTAGAAAAAAACCCCATAAGAAAGCCAGCGTTTGCATTTATAACTGAAAATGAGGAAAACCACAGTGGGTTTCTTTTAAAGTATTGCATTGTTTGCCTCAATCTTGTGCAACATCTGCTTCCCGCTGTTGGCGAGTTCATCTCTTAAAATCTAAGCCATATTTAGCCTATAACCAATTAATACCTTGGCTAACTATTAGGCTATAAAGTGGAATCCCACAGTCATGCAAAAGACCATAGAAATGCAGACAAAGCAAAACTGGCACAACTCACTCTCAGAAGTATATTTCTTCTCATGCAGTTCCCTCTGAGCTCCATCACAACGATCCAATTTAATGTTTGTCAGGTTTATTTCAAAGCTACTGGCTAATGTTTAGGGAGTGAACTTCATTAGTAACTGCTGTAATAACTTAATCGAGCACACACCTAAACAAAGCTAATGACTGCTCCTTTGAGGTTTGTAACCGAACAATTAAAACTGCAGTTCTTCATGTGTGTTTTCTTACCAATGATCACCACAGGCAAGATGTCTCCAGGGAGAATTTCTTTGTCATGAAGGTCCATTTCAACTGCAAAGAGGAGAAAAGACATTTTTATAGAAGACTGAGAAAGTAGTTCAACACAGTTAATGATTGTTGAGTCCAGTCAGCATTAACAATGGTGAGTCGAGTTCATTTTCATGTGACCTGTGGCACACACATGCACACACTTCCCCTGCAGAGCCCTCAGTTTGACATCGTAGCTCGAGATGGCGTAGATAGAGATATGACGCTGCCACATACACCATAAACCACACAGGAAGACAGTCTCTAGAGAGACTTCATGTGAAGACGCTAATTTCTTCCTTGTTTACTCTCTGATTTAATTTTTTTTCAAACCTGCAAGTTTGAAGCTGTACTTTACTATTCCTGAGTTTACAAACAAGTCAAGACATTGAGGTCAACTCAGTACATCAAGGTCGGCTGTAGAGGAACTAGATCTGTTACACACAGCAGTAGGTCAAGTGCGAGAATCAGTTTTACAACTAAAACACATCCACTGTAAGTTTAGACATTAACCCAGGGTGAAAAGGCATTAAATCAAATGTAATAACTCACTCAGATCACAAGATGCTTAAAAGCCTGAGGGCACACGACCTGTACTCGCATCATATTTTACCCCCACAACATGCAGCGCGCCTCTTTTCCCCTGTTAAGTTTAACTGTTGTGGATTAAATCAACAAATTTGGCCTTGGAGAGTCTTTTATTTGCTTGGAATTTTCTAAACACAAAGCTAATCTTTAAGCACTTTTACTCATTTTAATGTGCATCAATGTGTTTGCTTTGTTTCTAACTTTATTTATTAAAGGAACCAAAGGCCTCAAATGCTAAAATAAAAATCTGTTTGAAATGAAGAAACAATTCACACTTTCAACTTTTTCTTTTTTTTCCTGAAAGGAGACCTTGCTGAGGATTTTTTGCACAGTTTATGTACTAAAGGACCACAAGCCAAGCGCCATTTAGTCTGATTGTATTCATGACGAGTGAGGCAACCTCTGGAGCTCACGCGATTAAAACAAAAAGGGAAAATGTGAGTTTGGTGATTATAAGTTGTTTCATTAAAGCTCTGACTGGCCGTTTCAGCCGGTACAAACAAATGAATGATATCATAATTTATTTTGAGGACTTCCAGGAAAGACTATCAGCATGAGACGATGTTGATTATTTTGGCCTTGCAGGTCTGACACTGAGAAAGGCTCAAACTGAGTGTTTTGTGATCAGCCTGACACAAAAATGTGACCATGAAAAAACAAAAAAAGGAAATATTTGGAGGTAAAAAACAAAAATATTTGGAGTTCCATTAAATGAGAAAATCTTGTGTCCTTCAGCTGTTATCATGACCACGACAAGGAGGACGGAGCGTAGAAATGAACGACCGAGGAACTGATATTCAGGGAGGAACGTCTTACTTTGTATCGCCCCTGTGTTTACTGGGTACATGCCTCTCAGTGTGGTTTAAAATAAACATCAAGTCTGCTGGAATCTCAGTGTTTAGAAAAACTATTCCACAAGAAAAAGTGACAAATTTAACTCCCTTTTCCACCGGTCACAAAATATAGGCCTATATAGTCTAAAATTAAACAAAATTAGCAGAATGAATGAAAAAAAGAAAAAGAAAAGAAAAGATGGTGGTAAGAGAAATGGTCTCCAATACATCCTCATTAGAAGGAGCTCACTGCTCATCAAGTAGCTCCAGTAAAGGTCTCACTCAAAGGGTCCCTGTTTTCTATCTTTAAGAAATATTTCAAATCTTTAATGCACTGGTGACAGGATGGAGGCTTTTTCCATTAAAATAAACAAAAAACAACAACAACAAAAAAGCACCAAACACCTTGCATGAACTGCAGTTTCAGCAGCCACAGAGGAGTGCCGCTGGTGTAACGGTGCCTTTATTTGTACCAAAACAGTGTGCAGTTACTTTTTCCCACCCCTGTGATGCAATGACCAGGAAATCTTTGCAAATATAGTTATTCATCACGGAAATGGGAGCAAGTCATTTTCCACATAGAAACTCTGTTTGTCTCTAACCTAACTCATTAAAACTTAACTGAATGCCTAATAAGTAAATTATGAAGGGTGGTGCAAGAGTATAATGCATTTACCCCTTTGCAGACACTCTAGACAGATAGACAGACAACTGTAATATAGCTCATGATGTCAGCTAAGGTATGACGTTACTCATTTGCACAGACCTGCCCCTTTACATAATCTGCTAAGTCATGCTTACACGGGGGAAAAGAAAGTTACTGCAGGACATGGAGGGAAAAAGAGGATGACTCAAAACAAAAAACACAAGGTCGAGATAAGCAAAGCAGTGAAAAGGGGCAAAGAAAAAAAAAAAAAAGAGGATTGAACCAGAATCAGCGCGAAAAAGAAAAGTAGCCGCGAGAAAGATAGAGGGTTACATAATCCAGCCCAAACGGTGGCAGAGAGCCCAGTGAAGGCGGGCTGCACACACATACAGTCCATGACTAAATGAAGCCTAGTAGCTGTGTTTCCCCCTGGGATTGACCTGCGAGGATAATTAGGCTTCCTTAATTTCTTTGGCACAAAATGCCAAAAGTGTTTTCCAGGGAAATGTGACTAATGTGCAGCACAGACGTCATTAAACACTTTATTTTCAGTGTTTATGCTTACAAAAAAGAGGACTTTAGCTACAGCATTAAATGTACCAAATATAACAGTTATGCCAAGTTGTTATCCCAAAAAAAAAAAAAAAAAAAAGCAAACTTCTGTGTATGGTACTTCCAAATTAATATAGTTTATCAGAGTAAAGAGTTACTCTTATTTTCAAATTAAACACTCATTTAAATTGTAATCTAAATATAAAAAGAAAACTAATGAGTCTGCCATGAGGTACTGTGCATGTTTGCTTAACTTCAGCACACCTGCAGTGATCTCTGGGTCATATTACAGTTATAAAAGTCATAAACTCTAACTGGGACAACTGGATAAAACACAACTGACCAGTCATAGCAGTCATCATTCATGACCTGTGATACCTGACAGGTTAGTCTTTTTTTTTTTCATTAGTCATTGTGCCAAACACCCATTTTTATATTGGATGTTTCAGACTTACATGTTATACAAGTTCATTTCGGTATTCCCATTCCAGGTGTAAGAGGTCGTTTGGTATCAAAGCACTGGCCAAAGCAATATTGGCCACTGAGACATAAAGGTCCTAAGTTAGACTACAAATACTGCTTTAAGAAGTTGGAGACGTGGTGGTGTTACAAGTAAGAAGTGCTTTTAACCTAAAACAGGACCTCGGTTTTACACCTTGTTTTAATTATTATATTTTCCCCCAAAAGGATGTTTCCATTCACCTTTACTGTCATCGAAATCCTTAATAAAATTAAATGTTCAACCTGTTTTGATGTTTTACTTTCAGTCCTTCTCTGAGAAGAGGCATACTTAAAAAAAATAATGGAGCAACTACACTTCCAGGTTGTGTATTTCCTTTACGGTAAGACTTATGTTTTGTGTAAGTCAGCTGATACCGACAAATATTCAAATACTGTAAACCAGATATGTTTTATCACTACCTCTATCTCCCTATGTCTACCTGCCAAACAGGCTTTTCAACACAGAGCGTAAGCTTATTTTAAAGCATTTTTTGTTACACTTGCAGTAAGACTCATTTACTGCAAAGGAAAGTTTGTCCCGCCACAGGTGGCGTATATAATTAACTCAGTAACCACACAGCTATAACAATGACACAGCAGTTGTGTCTCGACTTATGTCAACTGCAGGTATGTGTGTGCAGTGTGCAGAGCCACAACAATATGGAGCCATGAAAGCCCTCATATTATTTCGAAACTACAGAGTGCAACTTCCTGTTAAGACTGGTCTTAAATCAGCTGCTCACCATTACATAATCAAATGTTTTGCTCATGCAAAAGACTCAAATCAGCAAATCGAAACATTAACTTAAAAAGCAGAAAACCTCCCACTTATTTAAAGACATATTTTAAATAACTGATGGCCCTTCGGGGGTGAAACTGAGGCACCATTTCTGATTTTAAACAACGGTCAGGCAAAGTCGTCTTTGCTTTACGTTTCTGATGAATGGTGCAAGCAAAGCAGTTACAAAAACAGGGAGGAATAAACAAAGCGTTGGTGAGTTTCTCCTCTTTTGTGCCCCTGTGAAGCTTGAATCTCTATGACACTGGATCGGATTCTCTACTCATCAGGCTGCAAATATAGCAAAGGCTTATCTAAACTCTTATCCAACTGCTGCTGCTATTTTAATACAGGCTCTCAATCTGAGCCCCTTGATTTTATGCAATGCCCTACATGAATCTGTTTCTACCTGTGGAAAATACTTGAGAAATGCTCCATATGGCACCTGTGCATACGTCTACCTTAAAGCTTCCAGCATCTGGCCAGCTAATCCGCCATATGCACCTGCCAGACGGCTAATGAGATTTCAGTTATGTCTGCCTAGACGCCTGCTGCAGTCTGCAAAGTGTAGGGAGAACCAAATCGGTTCCTGTGCAGTATTGGAAACTAAAACACTAAACACATAAGTATTCACACTTCTTGATCCTTTTCAGCCAGCTGTCTTCTGACTAGCTCCCCCTCATGAACAAAAGGCTAAAACAATGGGTGGGTGGGATCTCTGTGTGCTGACAGCCAGTGCTGTGTGCCTGATACAATCTATCTGGTGTCATTATCATAAAATATCCAAGAGTGGGGTTCAAATGTCTGCAGTCAGAATTTACTGTACATACACTGACCTGTTTGTCAAATTTAACCAGGTGCAATATGAGAACATCACAGTAGCAGTACCTTTATGACAGAGCATAAATTAAAGCCCTCTTTAATTTTGTCACCTGTCTGTATAAACTAAACTCTTTTCCCTGTGTTACTCAGTTTCATTCTAGGGATTTTGGCACTGGGTGTCCCGACAGCCCTCTGAACTTCCTGTCAGTTTCCTGTGAACTCTCAGCCATCACTGTTTTAGCAAAACCACCACCCACCGACTCCACCTCAAGATAAACATGCAACTGAATTCTAAAGCTGTTTCTATTGTTTCAGCACAGTGAAGCAGTTATTGACATTAACAACTATAAAACTATGTGCAAAACCCAAAGTACCAAAACAAATCATTCACCAGCTATTGTGTTACAAAATGTAAACTTATAAAAATATACTTTTCCTATAAAAAAAATACTGTTTAGCTATGGTGTGATAATCTTTAGTATCCCTAAAATATTTTATATATTAAACTAGACTTTAATGAAATATTTTCTACTTTTAATTGTACTAATATATATGTATTTATATATAGCTGTGTATAGGAAGCAAATGTGCTTTTAAATAATTAATCTATAAACGTATCATTCTGTATTTATCTAAAGTTAACCACGCATGCTGTACCACGTGAATGTATATGATTCAGCATTGAGAGTACTTTTGGATGATGAAACTTTTCCAGGATTATGACGGACACTCAGATAAAGGGAACAAATACTTTTTTCCAGTAAAAATCCATTTTTTGTGCAGCACGTCTGCATGAGCGCTACAGATGTTATCTGCTCTGCATTCTTAAGGAAAACCCTAGAAACGTCTCTCCCCACGTTGCACTTGCACCCGCTCGGTCCGGTCGTGACCACCCACGCCCCTCCCCTGCCGGTCAGCTACGTGACTCACAGCTCCCAGCTCCGGCTGACAGGAGCCTGCCCTCACCATCTAACCGCTCCACGAACTCAGGACAATGACTCACGCCACAATGGATGCTCACCTAAATGAATGGATAAAGAAGAAAGATGGTGGCCTCGGGCTACTCACTGATTCGCGCCGGAGGTGAGGCTCTGTATCCCCCGCGTGCTGTTTGAGCCTTTCAGGAGACACGAGGGTTTGACGTCTGTCTTCTGTTTCTGCTGCTTCTTCTCTTCTCTCAGTCTGTCATGTCGCGGCTCTGCCCCCTTCTTTTATAGCCGCCTTCTCTTTTTTCCCCCGCACGTGTTCAACGCGAGCCTCAAACTCCTGCGTTGTGCAGCACGTTCACTCGTTTAATGTAACAGTGCAGATGGCCCCTCCCCCGTCGACCAATAAGAATCACGCCTCTTTCCTAGACGCTGCCCCGGCTTTACCCCCTGAACGCCGCCATCTTTACGCTGCTACGTCGTCAGCATAAAGCGAAGCAAAAAATCGTATATATTGCGAGATGGAGAGACGACGACAGGATGGACTGGATTTTCTTTCGTTATTGTTAAAACAAACGCCAGTCCTCGTGTCTGTGTAACTAATAAATAAATGCACGAGAAAACAGAAAAGAAATAAAGAAAAGACACAGTTCTTCTTTTATTATTACAGCATAACATAGTCATTGTCTCTGTATAAATAAAAAAGAGAGAAAAAAGGCCAAATTTAGATCTGCTTCTGTATTATTATAAAATTTGACTTTTAAAAAAAATCTTACAGTATTTATAGTCGTTTTGCAGTGTGGATCTGCTTGTTTAAGTTTATTATTTAGAGAATCTCAGTTTAACTCCAGTTTTCACTTTTTCCGAGTTAATGGTAGCTTCTTCTATAACCTTATATAATTTTCTTAAACTAAAGCTAAAGATGTTTCCTTGAAATTTTTTTATTTCAGTTTCGTAAGCGTACATGATTGTTTCAGTAAGTTAATTAGTTTTTATTTTCATTTTTGTTAGTTAAATATAATATACTTTGATCTCTGTCCTGTCAGAAGCATCCTTATAATTCTTCAAACAATGGTATCATGAAAAACTAGCATTTAAATGTCGCATACTGATGAGAAAACCTTTGTTCCCATGTTTAGCTGTTTGCAGGATCCAAATTTGATGTGAGTTCCCGTTTCACAAGACCTAACGACTGTTTTACCTAAAATTTGAACTTCCCTGATGCTTGTGAAGAAGCTGATGACTGCAAAACTAACATGCTGAACATCACTACAAAGCACTGGAACAGTTATATAATCCCTGAGCATTCAGATTTATTTAAATCATCAGAATCAGCTAAACTTTAATTACATAAAGATAAAGCAAATCCATGTACACATATAGAGTAAACAAAAGTAGTAAGAGACACACCTCTCACACACTTCTGTCTAAAAAGACTATAAGCTTTCATGGCTGACTCACACTGGAGTTCCTCCAATATGGCTGCCATACGTTACACCACACTTCATTCACAGCTGGTAAAGTTTAGTCGTGGTTGTGTATTTTTGTTGTTTACGCTGCTGTTAAAGCGACGTCGCGTTAACTTTTCTGCTAAGACTGTTTTATTCCGAAAAAACAGATTTCATCATGTGGCGTTTGAGTTTCCTGGAAATGCAAACAGAGTGGCCACTCCTCTGTTTCTTCCCCCTCTAAGAGCACCAGGTGCCCTTGAAACAGAGCACTGCATAATGACAGTTTAATAACCTGAAGGGTCTCATGTCTAGCTGATGTTTCTGAGATATTTTTATTATTAGGGAGTCACATTTCCTCTATTTCTATTTATTTGATATACATTTGTAAAAAAAATTAAAAAAATTAATCGTTCTGAGATTGTACATTTGTGGGCCACTTTTCCTTCTACATTCATATATAATATTGGTTGGAAATTAACGTTTGGGAACCCAAAGCACGATTTTATATGTTTTGTAACACATTAGAGCTAAAATTGAAGCGAATTCAGATGTGTGTGTGGCTATTTCCCTTCCACGTTCTGCAGTGATTGGTATGGAATAACAGCTATACATCCCAAAACACGTTAGATGACTTTGTGTCATGCAAGATTGTTGTTTTTTTAGTCAGACTGTTATGCAAGCTTTAACAGATCCTCGTGCAAATTAACAGTAGCACACCTGCAGTAGGGTTGTCCTTGTGTAACTTTCAATTTTTGACAGAATCTGTTTTTTTAATCACCACAAAAAAATCCACTTTTTCCTTATAATCGTTATCATAACAACCAATGTGATGAGAGCGGACAGAAAATCTACCTATTTTTAAATCTTAATATTGATTTTTCTTGTTTGGCTTTTACTTTCCCCACAAAGTCTTACTCAGAAGAGTGACTGTGATGGTCATCATGTTCAACGGGGTTTTAACACAAGCAGGCAAAACAGAATCAGTTAAACAAAGTCTTACTTTAAAAGTCAATATGAGATGAAAGCTTCGACAGAGAAGCATCTCCAAAACACCCAGACCTCATAATCAGACAACAAGCTATAGGTTTGAAGCCAGGCACAGCCATGCAAATAAGTTATTTTGCCTTCTTGGGTTTCTATTTTAAACACGAACAGGACTGTTAGTGACATGAAACCATTTATTGTGAACCCTTCCTAACAGAACAGATCACCAAGTGCTCCAAATGTTTGAGTTCAGCTATTTCATTAAAACAAAGATGGCAAACTAAGAAGAAAAAGTGTCACCAGAACAATCAGAGCAGGTCTGTGCACTTCACTTCACTCGACATAACATGTTAATACCAAATCCCGTACAGGTGATGGTAAAGGTCGTAGGACACGATTAACTTAATTTTCTTCCTCATTCAGCGCACATGCTCCACGGAGAGGGGAATCCTGAAACACATCATTCCCATGAGGATAAAAATGTGTCGTCAGGACAAAGCTGATCAGCTAGAACAACTTTGTATTCATTTATATGCAACCAACAACATAAAATAAGCTGGTTTATGTTTTTCCTTCAGTATTTAATTTAATTTATTTATTTAGGACAGTTTACATTAATGAACATAAATGTAAAAAGAATTACATGACTGTAAACATACCAGATTATAGCCAAGGGCTAATTTCTATCTGCTGTCCTAAAACATAAAAAAATAGACATAATAATTCATAAAAATTCATCATTCATTCATAATAAAGACTCCATCACCAAACTTACACATACACACCATTCTGTTCCTAAATAAAACATTGAAACTATACAACTTATACATGATCACACACTTTCAATGTATGTCACTCATAGATGTACTAATCATTCCAGGAATTTCACCAACATTATCCTGAGATAAATAATTAAAGGAAAAAACTTTTTCAAAATTACTTCTAAGTTGAGCCTTTTTCATTGTTATTTTTACACCACAGTGCAGGTAAAAGTCCTTTAAATAAAATTGTGTGAGAAGACAAATTTACAATGGAACAAATTTACTGAAAAAACACATTTTAGTTAGTCTGCTTGCCTATTTGTTCCACTTGCACTTGAGTTACAATCAGCTGATTTCAGCTGATATGCTGGAGAAGGAAAACAGTGGAGCAGTCTGCCGAGTGGATATGGGCATTTTATTTATATTTTATTGCACAAAAGGATGAGAGTGCAATGGCAAAGTGGAAACTTCATCCAGGACAGAAACAACTATATCATACTGTTAACACAACTTCAGCTCTTTGCAAACACTTGCTCGGACAGCATGCTAACGCTGGGTTAGCCAAAAACCCAGAGTGAAGCTGAATGCCGACTCCAACTCAGCAGCCAGACCCTGAACTTCAACTGTGAACAAACTCATGAGCAGTCAGACTCCGTTTCTACCAGTTCATCACCATGACGACCGTTTTGAAGTCGCTTTGCTTTGTGTTTCATCTTTGCTTTGTGTTTTCGGCTTTGTGTTCAAAGGTTAATACAAAGAAAGAGATCATATGTTAGGATAGGGATTTCTGTCGGTGTGTAGCCTCAGGTTTATATTGTTAATTGTTAATTATGAGACGGTGGTTTTCAGGTCATTTTACAGCGAAAGTAAAGTAACAAGTGGTTTAACAAAATACTTTCTACTGGGAGTAATTAAATAATGCACTGCATTACTTATTATTAAAGTGTTCTGTGTAATATGACTAATACATTAGTTTTTTGAGTAAGACTCAAATACAGATCACAACAAAGTGGGGAAATACCTACAACGTGCAAACATTAGACAACACAGCATCCAGTTAATTTGCTGTACTTTTCCTGTACTTTTGTAAAGCACTCAAATAAGTGCTTTACAAAAGTACAGTAATTTACATTCCTTCTGTATTAATTTACAATTGTCCTCATCAAGCTCTCACTTAATTGTTTTGAGCATTGTAAGATTAACAGTAGCGTGGTCTAATGCAGCGGTCCCCAACCCCCGGGCCTTGGCCCGGTACCGGTCCGTGAGTCGTTTGGTACCGGGCTGCGAGAGTTGAGGCTCAGGTGTGAAATGTATGGTTTTCAGGGTTTTTATCAGTTTTTAGCGTTATTTTGTTATCGTTTTTATCGTCAACTCGGTTTTTCTGGGTCTTTTCACGTGTGTTATGAATAAATCTTCTTTTTTCAGTACCGGTACTAGTTTTATTTTGTTGTATTTATCCGCGACACCTTAAAGGCCGGTCTGTGAAAATATTGTCGGGCATAAACTGGTCCGTGGCGCAAAAAAGGTTGGGGACCGCTGGTCTAATGGCATTGAAGAGGGATGGGAGAGAACTATTTCAAATGAGGATGGTGCCACCTAATGCACCCCTCTAGACACGCCCCTGGGCTTAAGGTTGGGGACATTAACCATGAAACCTCAGAAGGTTATAGTAGACTTCACCACATTATCCAAATAAAAAAACCTTGCCCTCAGATCAGACTTCAAACTTTGATATTTGACAAAGCTTTGGTCTAGAGCTGGATCATATGATGCTGAATCCTCCCTTAGTTAGTTTCAGGCTATAGGGGGACTTCCCAAGATGCAGCAAGCACTTCTCCTTCAGTCCTCTATTTTCATGTGTTGCGTGTCATTAACTTTTGTCTTCTCTCTCCTTTAGTTTGTCTTTTGTCCTGTTTATTGTTTGTAGTCTCTCTCTCTCCCCCCAACCAGCTTCTGCAGGTGCCTGCCTCTTCTGTTCAAAGAGTGCGTTTCCAGCTAAAAAGATGTTCTTCGTCTCTGCTTTTACCTCCTCGTAGGGAATCATCAGACTACTGTTCTTGTGAAATGATCACTTAGAAAAGCCACAAATTACACAATGGCAAATGCAGATGTGGTTTTGCATCATGTTTAGATAAAAAGATTTGGAACCACAGCATAACAGAGCTAATCACCGTAGAAGTGAATGGTTCAGGTTTT